TCTCTATGTGTATGTTTCTATGTGTATGTTTCTATGTGTATGTTTCTCTATGTATGTTTCTGTGTTATGTTTCTATGTGTATGTTTTATGTGTATATTTCTATGTGTATGTTTCTATGTATGTTCTATGTGTATGTGTGTATGTTTCTATGTGTATATTTCTCTATGTTTCTATGTGTATGTTTCTATGTGTATGTTTCTATGTGTATATTTCTCTATGTGTATATTTCTCTATGTGTATGTTTCTATGTATATGTTTCTCTATGTGTATGTTTCTCTATGTATGTTTCTCTATGTGTATGTTTCTCTATGTATGTATATTTCTCTCTGTGTATATTTCTCTGTGTATGTTTCTCTGTATGTTTCATGTATGTATGTTTCTCTATGCATGTTTCTGTGTATAATAAATATATAATAATAATGTGTATGTGTGTCTGTGTTTCTCTGTATGTTTCTCTATGTATATTTCTCTATGTGTATATTTCTCTATGTGTATGTTTCTCTATGTGTATGTTTCTCTATGTGTATGTTTCTCTATGTGTATGTTTCTCTATGTATGTTTCTCTATGTATGTTTCTGTGTATAATAAATATATAATAATAATGTGTATGTGTGTCTGTGTTTCTCTGTGTATGTTTCTCTATGTGTATGTTTCTCTATGTGTATGTTTCTCTGTGTATGTTTCTCATGTTTCTATGTGTATGTTTCTCTATGTATGTTTCTCTTTGTGTATGTTTTCTATGTTTCTACATGTATGTTTCGAAAACAGACGACGACGAAGAAGACGACGATGACGAGAAGACACAAGACGACGACGAACGACGATGACGACGACGACGACGACGACGACGACGACGACAAGACGACGACGACGACGACGACGACGAAGACGACGACGACGACGAAGAGACGACGATGACGACGAAGAAGACGACGACGACGACGACGACGACGAGAGACGACGACGACGAGAAGACGAACGAGAACGACGACGACGAACGACGAAGAAGAAGGACGAAGACTGACGACGAAGAAGACGACGAGACGGACGAAGACGACGACGACGACGAGACGAACGACGACGACGATGAGAAGACGACGACGACGACGAGAAGACGACGACGACGACGACGAGAAGAAGACGACGACGACGACGACGAGAAGACGACGACGACGAGAAGACGACGAGAACGACGACGACGAGAAGAAGAGGACGACGACGACGACGAGAAGACGACGAGAACGACGACGACGAGAAGAAGAGGACGACGACGACGAGAAGACGACGACGACGACGACGACGAGAAGACGACGAGAACGACGACGACGAGAAGAAGAGGACGACGACGACGAGAAGACGACGACGACGACGACGAGAAGAAGAGGACGACGACGACGAGAAGAAGAGACGACGACGACGACGACGAAGACGACGACGACGACGACGACGAGAGAACGACGACGAGGACGACGACGATGATGACGACGACGACGACGACGACGAGAAGAGGACGACGATGACGAGAGAAGACGACGAGAAGACGACGACGACGATGACGACGACGATGACGACGATGACGACGACGAGAAGAAGAGGACGACGACGATGGACGACGACGACGACGATGACGACGAGAAGAAGAGGACGACGACGACGACGAGAAGAAGAGGACGACGACGACGACGATGAAGAGGACGACGAGACGACGACGACGACGACGAGAAGAAGAGGACGACGACGACGACGAGAAGAAGAGGACGACGACGACGACGAGAAGAAGACGACGACGACGCCGACGACGACGACGAGAAGAAGAGGACGACGACGATGACGAGAAGAAGAGGACGACGGACGACGAGAAGAAGAGGACGACGACGACGACGAGAAGAAGAGGACGACGACGACGATGAGAAGACGACGACGACGACGAGAAGACGACGACGACGACGACGAGAAGACGATGAAGACGACGACGACGACGACGACGAGAAGAAGAGGACGACGACGACGACGAGAAGAAGAGGACGACGACGACGACGAGAAGAAGACGACGACGACGACGACGAGAAGACGACGACGACGAGAAGAAGAGGACGACGACGACGACGACGAGAAGAAGAGGACGAGGTTTTTAGTAATGAGGCCAACTGTTTACAGATTAGGTAGAAAATTCAAGAACTGTACAGACTATAAAGAATTAACAGTCTATCATTAACAAAGATCCGCCCCCCGAGTGGACCTTTCCTGCCATACAACAACTGATCTCTTACAAACCTCACAAGAACCTGGGAAAAACATTAGGAAATATACAACACTTTCATTACTAAGTGGAATCAACACACACAAAAAAAGCTCTAACCCAGTACAAAACAGAGTCTCTTTTTAGGAACCCACCAATGAGAGATCTTTTTAAACATCAGCTTAGTTCTTTTACAACAGCTTCATTATCTCCTTCATACTCTCATTCTGATTTCACCGTCCCCCCCCCCCTTGTTCTTTCTAACTAAGTCCTCAGTACCTGCTCTAGTTGCATACTATCCCTTGCAAAGATCAAAAATCAAACAATTTCTCAAAACCTGATGGTCTCTCACTTCTTATCTTCAATATATATGCACCTTAAGCTTCTTTCTATTCCCAGTGAACTGTTAAAATATTCTATCTCCTCTAATACTGTTGCCTCATCTTAGAAGCTAACCAATGTCTAACCTATTCCAATGTTATGGTATATGTAGTAAACAACTATACTCAAAACACAATCAGGAATATGAATTTCTCTCTCAGATTCAAGTGTCGTTTCCTTGTAGCCATCCACCAATAAACCTAAACTTAAACCCTGACTTTACTCTTGACAGCTTCAGTGAAACTTGTATTGTTGCTCCTGATATTTTAACAAGGGTTGGTGTCCGTGTCAACCTTGTTATATATATATTTTTTTTTTTTAGTCTCCCTGATTCTCCAATTGCCTGAATCTTTTTTTTTATCTCTCTCTCTAATCGACATATTCGTGCATTAGTGACCGGTTCATATTTTTTATTTTTTTATCATTAATGGAATCCCTCAAGGGTTATTTTTTATTTGTTGTATTTTTTTGCTCCTAGCCTGTCCTTGAATTTATAACACAGTGAAGCACAAGAAACTCAAATGCATTAATTATCGCCAGAACACAATAATTAACAGGTTTTTTTTCTCAAAATAAGAAAATTCAGAACCTCCATTTGCATTCAGTAACACACAGACTATACCAGCAAGTAACGTTAGTGTTCCTGAACTTACTTTATTTAAGCAGCTGTTTCTGTAAAAATGATTTCTCAATACTTTCCCTATTCTGTTTTCACTTATTTTCTGTTGACGCTTCTCTACTCACCCCTGAAGATGTGAATTACACGAGAGCGCTTGGGAACTTCGTGTTTTCTTGTTTCCTATGCGGTATAAAGAAATAATTACCGAAGATTACACACAAACACACACAAGCAAACACACACACACACACACACACAGACACACACACAGACACACACACACACATACACGTATTTTTTTTTCCAATGTTGTACAGTATATAAGAACAAGAGGACTCGTCAATAGCAACAGCTGCCGTTCATTAGAAATGTTTCCTGGTGCGTGCGGCTTCGCTTTGACACTCTGGCTACACAGGAAGGCGGTGAAAAACCAGGACGAGCAATTCATCCCTGCGCCTCACTTGTTGGTGTGGTTTTTGTGTGTTTTCACAGAGCCGGGCGACAAAAGTTGTTAGATGGACGACTGATCAAACCGAGAACAGGAAGGGGGAGAAGGAGGAGGAGCCTTTACTACTGTGTATGTGTGAGTGTGTGTGTGTGTGTGTGTGTGTGTGTGTGTATGTGTGTGTGAGAGAGAGAGAGGGTAGAGGAAGAGAGAAAAGGGAAAAATGGATGTAGCATATAGTAGGGAGAGGGGGGGAAGTAAGAAAGGAAAGAATGAGTTTTGTGTATGAGATGGGAAGATAGACGAAGAAGAATAAGAAGAAGGGAGGGGAGAGGGTGGAGAAACAGAAGAGGTGGGGGGAGGTAGAGGAAAAATGATCAAGCCGAGGAGATGGTGGAGAGAGTAATGAGTGTGAGGTGAAGAGAAGGGGGAAGAAGGGAGAGCTAAGAAGATGGATTGTATAATAGAAAGGGAAAGGAATTGTTTCTGGGTAGAGATGGAGAGAAGGGGAGGAAGATAGGATAGAAGTGAGAGAGAGAGAGAGAGAGAGAGAGAGAGAGAGAGAGAGAGAGAGAGAGAGAGAGAGAGAGAGAGAGAGAGAGAGAGAGAGAGAGAGAGAGAGTAGGAATGGAAGTGAACGGGTTAGGTGGAGCGGCGGACGGAGGAATGAATAGAAAGTGAAAAGAAACAACGGATCGAGTATAACAAGGAGGTGGAGGAGAGGGAATAAGAGAGAGGCAAATCCTCCATTAATGAGGCTCAAGTGAACGTAAGATTGAGCCTCATGTAAACGTAAGACTGAGGCTCAAGTGAACGTAAGATTGAGCCTCATGTAAACGTAAGACTGAGGCTCAAGTGAACGTAAGACTGAGGCTCAAGTAAACGTAAGATTGAGGCTCAAGTGAACGTAAGACTGAGGCTCAAGTGAACGTAAGACTGAGGCTCAAATAAATCTGCAGGTGAGATGAGTTGAACGCTTGTGAGAATGAAATTTAATGCAAAGACTCACCTGTCTTGTTGATGAGTGTTCCTGAACCAGGTGAGATTAAAGGGGACGGACCAGGTGTTTAAGGTGAGGGTAGGGGAGGGACCAGGTGTTTAAGGTGAGGGTAGGAGAGGGACAAGGTGCTAAGGTGAGGGTAGGGGAAGGACCTGGTGCTTAAGGTGATGGTAGGGGAAAGACCAGGTGCTTAAGGTGAGGGTAAGGGAAGGACCAGGTGTTTAAGGTGATGGTGGGGATAAACCAGGTGCTTAAAGTAATGAAAGTGAGGATATTACTTGGTCTAAGGTGAGAGGGAGAGAAATAAAGTACTCACCTGTTCTGTGAGTGGGCGTCTCTGGTCCAGGTGAGGGTAGGTGACGGGTTGCCCTTAGCTGTACACTCGACGGAGGCGGTGGCGCCCTCTTTGACCGTCACCTGTTCCTCCGACATCAATTGGTCTGGTCCATCTGGCACACCGGGAGGAGGAGAAGGAGAGAAACAGATTTAAGTAACAGAACGATCACTAAATTTGTCTAATTCTTTTGTTTTTCTCTCCCTCCTTCTACGGGATAGGATGTATATTATTCCTGTTTATTCATTTCTTTTGTTTTTTCTTTCCTAGGATTAAATTTTCTCTCTATTTCTCCTTTTTGGGGGATAAGCACCACTTCTTCCCTGGACGCCCATGTAGGTTTTAGGTTTTTGTGTATTTGTATTTATTTATTTGTTCTTTGGGGGTGAAGGGGAGAGAGGGGAAAGGGAAGGGGTTGAGGGAGTGAGGGTGAGGAGGGTGAGAGGTGAAGGGTGGGAGGGATGAAAGGATGAAGAGTGAGAGGGTGGTGAGGGTAAATTTACACCCCTGTTCAATTTTTCGGTGATTCAAGGTAAAACACATTACAATTGCATCGTTTCACAGTCCCCCCCTTCTCTTGTTTTAATAAAAGAAGTTAAATTTCTACCACAAAAAATGTTATATTACCACGTATGTTCCCCATAACAGCACTCTAACATTACCTAACATTTTAACATTACCTAATATTTGTTTTGTTTTTAACTTAACAGAGGGTCAATGTTTATCAGTGGATATAGATTGTAGTACAAGCAAGTATTACCAACAGAGATAAGCTGATTCAAGGGTATTTAAGCTCTGATCAACATAATATCTCCGGCTGGGAAAGAGTTATTCTCGTACTCAAACAGGAAGGTCTTAATAACACATGTACTTCATCAATACCTTCATTTATAACTCAATACACTTCTAATATCAATCAGAGAGATATATCATTCATGTATATATTAATATCTTGTGTTTAGAGCATGATCTGAATTAGACTTCCTACCTGGTGTAATTAGTACAATAATATGTTCGTAATTAAAATTCTAAAGGTAAAAATACTTGTTTGTCTAAAGAAATCAATGTTTTTTCTTTTTAAATACATAATATAAATAAATCAAATGTATCCCCAAAATAGCTAATATATATAAAATGAAAAATCAATTATGCAACACTTTCGGTATCTTTATTTTCTACATTAAATTACCAACAGCACTTCCCATCCCCTACCAGTTCTGTTCTACGCGGCCAATCATGTCTTCCATACAATTAATTCTTTGTACGTGACATATTAAGATACTTGTAGTGATTCAGAGACTTCAATATTTACGACGATGCTTCTACTCTTATGTGGGCTGAACCCTTGATAATAATCGATAAACATCATTTATTCTTTGAACCTTTTATTATAATTATTGAATTTTGAAGATATCTTTCAAATGTGTATGGAGATGTGGATATGAAAATGTATATGAACCTGAAACTAAAGGTGTTTATTGAGCCAGAAAAATTATAGTAAAAAAGTTAAACAGTAATAAATGGTAATTACATGGCTAAGCCTTTTGAGAGCTGCAACATTCTTTAAAAGTCACCTGAGAAAACATATTAAGAATTTTAAGTTCAAACAAGAGTCATTATTTCCTAGTCCAGATGTAAACAACGTGTTTATTGTACTTGTAATACAAACAAATGGAATGGCCCGTTCAACGAATGTATGTAAATAAATACCAAGTAAATAAAGCCAAGTAAATACCTACTTAGCTACACTCTGAATATCTACCTGTGATGTAAGAAGCGAATGTAACGGTGTTGATGTTTCATTGTTTATATAAGTGTGTGTGTGTGTGTGTGTGTGTGTGTGTGTGTGTGTGTGTGTGTGTGTGTGTGTGAGTAAATAACACTAAAGATGTAGGTACAGTGTTACATACTATAGTGCAAAACACTTACGGGTTTTAGGTTAGGTTAGGTTAGGTCCTTTCGTCATTAAAGAGATTGAATTAAATCATCATCCTTAAAGTGACTGCACCTAAGACCATTGCCATCAAAGGGTTAATAAAAAGTAACAATTATTAGTATTCTTGTAGTTCTTCAAGTACTGTAAACAACAACGGAGAACTTAATCACCTAACCAACTAACTTTCTTACTTACTTACAGCCACCGTGATGGAAATCTTCGAGACAAACGTAATAACTTTTTGGTTTAGAAGTTTACCTCAACATAATGCCAGACTTTATGACGTTTACCGTGATATTAATAACCCGTGAGGCACTTATAATATTGGGCATCAAATACACTTACACTCACCCGGCTAACTACTGCAAATATCGTGAAACAACTTAGTTATCTTCTTCCTGGACACTTTAGAAATGGAAGATGGGGGAATTATTAATATGTGTGTGTGTTACTTCCGTCTGACTTGTCTTAAGGTGTCAGCCATATTTAACTGTCAGCCAACTTTAATGTGTTAGCCAACGTAAAAGTATGTAATTCACCTCTCGATTCAAAAATAAAAATATTGAAAACAAATATACGAACATAAAATTCCTTACCAAATAACACTTAAAAAAAAATAACACTTGCTGTTATTGGCTATATTTTTATCATTTATGAAATATTCAGTCACGTTATCCCACAAGAGCAAACTGTCAACACTGAAAGGAATGAATAATAAATAAACACTAGTCTATGTCCTAACTAAAGTCAATGTATGTGAAAAAAAAAAAAATAAATAAATAAAAAATATATATTATTTACACATCCAACCGCCCGTGAGTTAGCAAATGATAAGCTGAAATAACTGGCTAGCCTTCACAATATAAGGAAAAATATATCTCCAGAGTTAACCGAGTGTTGATGGTGAATTAAAAACATCAAAGAGCAAGTGAGAGAGAGCAGTAAATAGTAGTCAGCTGGTTAATGGCCTCGTCCAGGGCGGGGAGGATAGATGAAAGACACCCGGATGATTATGTGATAAGACTTGGGGGGGGAGAAGGGGGGTGAGTTTAAGAAGCTTTGATTATTAAAAATAGAAATCCTTTTCCGACACTGGAGATATTACTCATTAAACCTATTTATATATATGTCTGTTTACTTAGTTAGTTATTTGTATATGAGATACTCCCATAAGAAAAGTACATATATACGTACAGTACATCCCTTAAAAGCATCTTATAGAGTGGAGAGTGACAGGAACTATGTATGTGACAATTACAGATTAAGGAACAAATATAACGTATTAAACCAAGAATTTAATTAACACATTACTAAACAATGAATATTACTAACCCTCAAAAAATAAAATAAATAAAAATTGAATAATAATACTTAAAATAAAGCGGTTATTAAAAACAAAAGATAAATCCAGTAGTTACGAAAACAAACACATAATATTAAAAAAAACAATAATAATTTGTGTTTAAAGTGACCAAAGGTGACACACAGGAAGTAATAAGGTGGTGGACGAGGTGAGGCTAGGAGGTTCAGACACACTGGTGGTCTATTTCACGACAGATCATTAACTACCAATAATTACGTCGAAGGAGGGAAAAAAAAATTAACGATCTAGTTAAAGGAACAAGAAGGAATAGAAGAAGAATAAGAAGGAGGAGGAGGAGAAGAAGACAAGGACCAATATTTGATGGAAAAAGAAAAGATTATAGTTTATCCGTCAATTGTTGGGAAGAACGAGGTAAGACAAAGGAATTATTAAACGAACACTGAAAAGAAAAACAAAATGTGTGATCTGTTCAAGTATGTTAAAGCCGAAGGAAGGGCTATATGTAATGAGAAAACTGGAGTGGAGAAGAGAGGTAAAATACTCACTCATTGGTAAGCACACAGTGGCGGGTGAATCTAACATTGTCTAAGAAATGACGGACAGAAGAGAAGATTAAATAAGACTTATTACAGCAAAACTTGTGGATTAAAAAGAAGGATAAAGGCTTACTCAATGAAAACACAATGGGGAGGAGGAAGAGGAGGAGGAGGAGAATGAGGAGGAAGAGGAGAAGGAGGAAGAGTAGGAAGAGGAGAAGGAGGAAGAGAAAGAGGAGGAGGAGGAGGAGGTTGACAGTGGGGAAGGAAGGAACAAGAGGTGCTTATGTGCTCATACAAGACGGCAGGGAGAGAGGTGACTGTCAGAGGCTCACAAAGGCATTCAAGAGAGAGAGGAGCCTGGTAGACACTCATAAGGCCTCCGGAAGATGAAAGACTACCAGGCGCTCAACAATGACGCAAAATAAACAGGAAAAAAAACACACAGAGCGGAAAACCACTGCGAGTGAGGAAGAGGAAAAGCGCATACAAAAGCATTCCTCTGTGAAGGTAGAGGACACAGTGTCAAAAGCTGAGAGAGAGAGAGAAAGAGAGAACGTAGCAGGCACCAACAGAAGACGGGGGGAGAGGGAACTGAATGTACAGAGAGAGGAATGAAAAACGACAGTCAACAAAATGGTGGAGAGTTCAGTTTGAGGCCAAGGCAGGTGGAAAGACAAGTAACTACCTCGAAAGAAGAAGTGTGTCTTGTACAGGGCAGGTGAGAGCCACTGGTAACAAGAGGGTCATGTACTCACGTAGATAACTGTTGAGGAGAGTGTCGGGAATACTCACAGAGAACATTGAGGAAGAAGGATGCGTTGACGAAGCCTTTGGGGCTGGAGGCGAGGACGGAGAAGGTGCCGGTGTAAGTCCTGGAGACCCGCGTCAGCTGCAGTTCGCCAGCCCCGGCCACCAGCTCCTTCTCCTCCCTGCGTCACAAGTACCTGAGGGCAGCACAAGTTTGGGGCTCACTGAGACGCCTGCCATGCACAGCCTCTATTTATGAGAGACAGACTGAGCCTATAATCTAACTGAATACCTTACACTGAGATTAAATTACTTACTGATTAGATTAAAATTCTTACCGATTAGATTAAAATTCTTACTCACCCAATAATTCTCTTACTTACAGACTAAACCTCCGGTACAGAGACTCAAGAACTCTCCTCCACACAAACAGAAACTTACACAAACAGTCATTTCACTTTGTTCCAACTCGCCTCTGGACCTCTTCATATCTCCTTACGCTTCTTATTTGTACAGTGGAACAAAGTGTCAGGATGATCACCGTAAGTTCTGCTCCCTGCACGGTGAACTTATCCCTCTCATAACCTTAACCACCTGGAAATGAATTATGTCCACAGGGAGGTAAAGTGCACCCCAAGCACTTTAGATACACTCCTGAACTGTTTACACTCTTAAATATGCCGAAAGTATTTAAGCAAAAGTGTATAATGTAAAAAGAAATGAGAAGAAAAAACTCCACATTTGGGTAAACTTTTGTGTGTGTGCATTAATAAAAAAAAAGTCATCACTTTTCACAGCTTAGGCACACGGAGGAAAATTTATACGATGAAAAACTTCGACTTAAACGTTCAACATTTACCCAGCAAATACCTCCTGACCTGCATGACACACCCAGATAGACAGTCTCCTACCTGCAGGACATATCTATAAGTTCACACCACCTGCAGGAGCGTTGTATCCACCTACAGCGCCTACATACTACCCTGGGTCTAACTAGAGTCATTAAATATAGCCAGGAGTTAGGAAATAATATTTATATCAAGATTATTTTCCTCTTGAATATTTTATACTTATTTTGGTCTGGTGTTGAATGAAAGTATCTAACTTAGTCTCAGCATATTATTTGTTGTTGTTTATTTTGGGTTTTTGCGTAAGCCACCTAGTTAGATTATAGTCTTACATAAGTAGTAGTTACCAAAAAAAAAACAACCCTCATCGTACAAAACATTTTGAATTCGATCCCATGAAAAAGATAAATCATTTAAAACCATCCTAATGAGAAACACCGCAACACAAAACAGTCATACCTCGTTTAGGATTATTAGCATAGGATACAAAGGGATTACCTGCTCAGTGAAATCCTACGTGGCTGTGTGTGCGTGTTATTTGTATACGTGTTGTGTGAGGCATAAAGGAGGATGACCCTCTTGTGGCGTGGATTGAAAAGACATGTATCAAAGGTGGCTAGGAAAAAAATGGCACAATGGGCTCTTTGTAGGAGGAAGAGGAGGAGGAGGAGGAGGAGGAGATGATGGAGGCGGAAGAGGCTTTGAATATTTTGTTAGTTATAGTGGAGGAAATGAGGGTTCTTCCTTCTGTTACACACACATATATATATATATATATATATATATATATATATATATATATATATATATATATATATATATATATATATATATATATATATATATATATATATATATATATATATATAGAGAGAGAGAGAGAGAGAGAGAGAGAGAGAGAGAGAGAGAGAGAGCTGGTGGGATACCAATTGGAAATGCAACATTGACTTCAGGCACATAAAAAGGAAAACACCATCACACATACACACACACACACACACACACACGGGTCCCTCCCTCTGCTGTTGTAATCCACGGTCAAAGTTTAATTGACACACTGCTGCTGGAACCAAGAGCCTCATCACCTCAATATTGTTACCTTCACTCTGGCAGACAGACAGACAGACAGACAGACAGACAGACAGACAGACAGATAGATAGATAGGAAGATTAGGACCCTTTAAGGTTTAGGTTCCATTAGGACAGGGGCTTATTTGACCTCCATTTGACCTCTCACTCATTCCATCATTCCTTAACCTCTCACCCTGTACCTCCTCTCACAAAACCTTCAGGTAGTGGTGGTGGCAGCGCTGTCCAATTTCCCCAAGTGACAAAAAATAATAACAATACGTATGACTAACTGTATTTTACGTGATGATAATACAAGAAAATAAAAAGATTTCAACAAATTATATATTTTTTTAAGTATTAGGAGAAAAACTTACTTAGAATACGTAATTAAAGAGATATAGAGCTCCAATAATATATCCGATTAAAACGTACAAGGAGAAGAGGAAAGAGAGTTGAATTTAAGATTATACTCAGTGATGTGTTAAAGGGTGAGATTATTTAATATATCTTATGTCAAGACCGCAGGTGAAGACTGGCTTAAAAATTCCGTATAAAAGAGCCATAATACCTGGCGAAATTTATAACGTTAGCTGACACGACCATGAGAGATGTGGGTGATATAATTTTCCTAACCAACATTTTGTAACGGGGATTTTTGGGTAAGTTGGTGAAGGAGGAGGCGAAGTTATCAGGTAATGTAGTAGTGGGTAAGGTAGCTGGATGAATGAACAGGTGAGAGACAGGAACAGGTGAGAGACAGAGGAACAGGTGAGAGACAGGAACAGGTGAGAGATAGGAGCAGGTGAGTGAGAGGAACAGGTGAGAGACAGGAGCAGGTGAGAGATAGGAGCAGGTGAGTGAGAGGAACAGGTGAGAGACAGAGGAACAGGTGAGAGACAGGAACAGGTGAGAGATAGGAGCAGGTGAGTGAGAGGAACAGGTGAGAGACAGAGGAACAGGTATGAGACAGAGGAACAGGTAAGACAGGAACAGTGAAAATCAAAGAGAAAACCCTCCTCACTTCCCACACATCTATGTCCAATAACTCAATTGAGGTTTCCCATATATCGTTTTATAATACAAGAAATACATTGAGATAGTTCTATAGCAACACAAATATACTGATATGGTGAATGTGTTTAACTATTACCTGTAAGCATCAGTTAATTAATTTAGCTCAGTTAAAAGGCTCCTTAACGCTCGTCTGGGGAGTGTCTGGGGTGTACCTGGGAGTGTCAGAGGTGTACCTGGGAGTGTCAGGGTGTACCTGGGGAGTGTCAGGGGTGTGACCTGGGAGTGTCTGGGGTGTACCTGGGAGTGTCAGGGGTGTACCAGGGAGTGTCAGTGGGGTACCTGGGGAGTGTCAGAGGTGTACCTGGGGAGTATCAGGTGTACCTGGGAATATCGGGAGGTGTACCTGGGAGTGCCAGAGGTGTACCTGGGAGTGAGAGAAAGTACCTGGGAATGTCGCAGGTGTATCTGGGAGTGTCAGAGGTGTTCCTGGGAGTGTCAGAGGTGGCCTGGGGGTGTCAGAGGGGTGTACCTGGGAGTGTCTGGGGAGTACCTCAGGTGTCAGAGGTGTGCCTGGGGTGTCAGGGGCTGGAGTGTCAGAATGTACCTGGGAGTGTCTGGTGTGTACAGGAGTGCCTGAGGAGTACCTGGGAGTGTCAGAGGAGGACCAGGAGGGTTCAGATGTGTACCTGGAGTGTCAGAGGGTGTACCTGGAGGTGTCATAGGTGTGCAGGGGTGTCAGTGGAGTACCTGGGGAGTGTCAGGGGTGTACCTGGGAGTATCGGAGGTGTACCTGGGAATATCGGAGGTGTGCCTGGGGTGCCAGAGGTGTGCCTGGGGTGGGGAGAGTGCCTGGGGAATGTCGCAGGTGTATCTGGGAGTGTCAGAGGTGTGCCTGGGGTGTCTGGGGTGTGCCTGGGGTGTCTGAGGTGTGCCTGGGAGTGTCAGGGGTGTACCTGGGGTGGGGTGTACCTGGGGTGTCAGAGGTGTGCCTGGGGTGTCGGATGTGTGCCTGGGGAGTGTCAGGTGTTCCTGAGTGTCAGAGGTGTACCTGGGAGTGTCAGAGGAGTGACCTGGGGTGTCTGGGAGTGCCTCAGGTGTCAGGGGTGTGCCTGGGAGTGTCAGGGTGTGCCTGGGAGTGTCAGAGATGTGCCTGGGAGTGTCTGAGGTGTGCCTGGGGTGTCTGGGGAGTGCCTGGGGTGTCAGGGGGGAACTGGGGAGGGTTCAGATGTGTGCCTGGGAGTGTCAGAGGTGTACTGGGATGTCATGGTGTACCAGGGGTGTTGAGGTGGAGTACCTGGGGAGTGTCAGAGGTGCCTGGAAGTGTCAGGAGTGTGCCTGGGAATATCAGGAGGTGTGCCTGGGAGTGCCAGAGGTGTACCTGGGGTGAGGAGAGTACCTGGGAATGTCACAGGTGTACCTGGGAGTGTCAGAGGTGTACCTGGGAGTGTCAGAGGTTGTACCTGGGAGTGTCAGGGGTGTACCTGGGGAGTGTCAGGGGGTTTTACTCAGGTGTCAGAGGTGTGCAGGAGTGTCAGAGGTGTGCCTGGGAGTGTCAGGGGTGTACCTGGGAGTGTCAGAGGTGTGCCTGGCAGTGTCTGGGGTGTACCTGGGGGGTGTCTGGGGTGTGTACCTAGGGTGTCTGGGGTGTACCTGGGGTGTCAGAGGGATTACCTGGGGTGTCAGGAGAGTGTCTGGGAGTGTCTGGGGTGCCTGGGGTGTCAGGAGTGTGCCTGGGGTGTCAGGGGTGTACCTGGGAGTGTCAGGGGTGTGTGACCTGGGGAGTGTCTGAGGTGTGCCTGGGAGTGTCAGGGGTGTACCTGGGAGTGTCAGTGTGGAGTACCTGGGAGTGTCAGGGGTGTACCTGGGAGTATCGGAGGTGTGCCTGGGAATATCAGAGGTGTGTGCCTGGAGTGCAGAGGTGTACCTGGGGAGTGAGGGAGATGTACCTGGGAATGTGCAGGTGTCTGGGAGTGTGTCAGAGTGTACCTGGGAGTGTCAGAGGTGTACCTGGGGTGTCAGGAGGTGTGCCTGGGGGTGTCTGGGGAGTACCTCAGGTGTCAGAGGTGTGCCTGGGAGTGTCAGGGGTGTGCCTGGGGTGTCAGAGGTGTACCTGGGGAGTGTCTGGGGTGTGCCTGGGGTGTCAGAGGGAGTGCCTGGGGTGTCAGGGGGAGAACCAGGGAGGGTTCAGATGTGTACCTGGGAGTGTCAGAGGGTGTGCCTGGGAGTGTCATGGGTGTGCCAGGGGTGTCAGTGGAGTACCTGGG